ACTCTTCGAAGTGGAACTGCAGGGTAATACGGCAATTCTCTGTTTAGCTTCAGAGGAAACACCGACCGTTTCCACAGCTGGCTCCCCAGCTGCTGCACCATTTCACATTCCCACCAGCGAAGGCTCAAGGTTTCCAGCTTCTCTACATCCCCGCCAATATTCATTTTTTTCCACTCTTTTGATGACGGCCACCCTGGTGACTATAAAGTGGTGTAGCTCACTGTAGCCTCAGTTTGCATTTCCCTAAGGAGGACTAACAACTTCCACATTTACGTAGCCTTTTCCATCCCCCTGCCTCTGTTTTCCACCTGTTACACTGCAACGGCTTACTCTATGGGTTAATTATATCAGCACCCGGTGCCTTTATGTATTGCAGGGCCTGGGAGATGGTAAATTCCGTACCAAGGTCAGAAGGGAGGAACAAAATGAGACAGGACCCAAGAAAGGGTCTCTGCTGTACTTCCTTTTCCCTCCCCTGACTTAAAAGGCCCAAGCCGACATCATTTGTTTTTCTGAAGGTCCCACATGTCCATCTCTTCATCATTTTAGCATGCTCTCTCAGTCCTTTGTCTAGTTCTCATTCAACTCTGAGCTCTCAGTCGCAACAGTGATCTCTTCACCATAGAGGCCCATTTCCCAAACTAGGCAGCACGACACATATAGAATAAGACTTCCTCTCTGACCTAGGCCTCTTGCTTTAGAACGAGCCGTATATCACAGCCCCGATGTCTCACGCTCGGTCCCTTGTCATTTAATATGCAGTGTTGATGGAGCAGCTAGTAACTCTGAGCATACATTCCTGAGAGATTAGGCTCCAGGGAAACACTTCTCTATCTTGCCCTAAGTCTTTCTTTATTATTTTTTTAATAACTTATTTTTATTTATTTATTTATTTATTTATTTATTTTGGATTTTCGAGACAGGGTTTCTCTGTGTAGCTTTGCGCCTTTCCTGGAACTCACTTGGTAGCCCAGGCTGGCCTCGAACTCACAGAGATCTGCCTGGCTCTGCTTCCCGAGTGCTGGGATTAAAGGCGTGCGCCACCACCACCCGGCCTTATTTTTATTTTTTATGTACATTGGTGTTTTGCCTGCATATATGTCTGTGTGAAGGTGTCAGATCCCCTAGAAGTGGAGTTACAGACAGTTGTGAGCTGCCATGTGGTTGCTGGGAACCGAACCCTGATCTCCTGGAAGAACAGCCAGTGCCCTTACCGCTGAGCCATCTCTCCAGCCCTAAGACTTTATTCAAATCGATAAATCAAAATAGTATATATTTTGGTCTATCTTGTAGTGTTCTGAAGTAGGTATACATTAAAAATACGAGGGGATGGAGAGGTGACTCAGTGGTTGAGAACACTCGGCTGCTCTTCTAGAGGACCAGAGTTTGATTCCCAACACCTAAATTGTGGCTCATAACCATCTATAACTCCAGTCCCAGGGGATCTAGTGCCCTCCTCTGGCCTCTCCAGGCACTGCACACATGTGGTGCTCAATCATTCAAACACACTAAAGGCCTATACACATAACATAGAAATGTTATGGAACATCTTACAAAGTCCCATGCCATCCTTGCAGGATGGGGGGTAGGGCACACTAATTTTTGTTTGCTTCCAAGTTTGGTGTATGTGCTTGTCAAAGCAAGCATGCCCTCCATCTTCAGAAAAAGTTAACAATGTCCGACTGTCCTAAAGGCTTGTGGGTCGTTGTAAACTAGAGGCAGGCATGGCTTTGGCGTACAGGGAAGAGCCGAGTTGTCAAAACACTTGGGACAAAAGACAAAGGAAAGCTGTCATACTCTCCCCTTGGATACAAAGAGGACAATCATCCTTGTGTGACATGTTATTTATCGGTAATATTGAGCGTCATTTTCTTTTTCTTTCTTTAAGTTTTTTGACATAGGGTTTCTCTGTGTAGCTTTGTTCCTTTCCTGGAACTCACTCTGTAGCCCAAGCTGGCCTCGAACTCACAGAGATCCGCCTGCCTCTGCCTCCCGAGTGCTGGGATTAAAGGTGTGTGCCACCACTACCTGGCTGAACATCATTTTCTTGATGATCTTTGAGTGCTAATCCCTGGTTTGGGGTACTTATGAGTAAGTGTAGTATTTACAACATTGCAGAATGGCCAAAGAACTTTTCTCAGTATTAAACATTTTATTCAATTCTGAAATTTTTATATTTATAGATCTAAAAGTAACATGCAAAGGGGCAATTTCATGACTGACAGTGTTCTGGACATCAGACAAGAATTTCAAATTGTTTTATTTCAATTAAAATATTTACGTCTTCAAAAACATTCGAAGAACTATTCAGCTCTTACTGGAAGAAAAGAATACTAAGTCAGAGGTGGTGGCGCACGCCTTTAATCACAGCATTCAGGAGGCAGAGGCAGGAGGATCTCTGGGAGTTTAAGGCCATCCTTGTCTACATAGCAAGTTCCAGGGCAGCCAGGGCTACAGAGTGAGACCCTGTCTCAAAGATAAAAATAAAAATATTTTTTAGCTCAAGACTCACAATCAAGGATCACAGCCCAATTTTTGGTTCCCCATCTTTGATTACCCGTATTTTGTGTTGCTTCCCACCTAGGCAGGAATGAAGTGAGATCTAAGTAGAAAGCTTGAGCTATGCCTTTGATTAGGGTCAGAGATATGTATGTAGTATATGTATGCTGGGTCTCTTTCGAGTGAACTTGGGGATTGGCAGATGGGTGGGGTTGGGGGCTGGAGGAATGCCTCAGATTTATTGTCCATCCTATGCGGAGTCTAATTCTAGCCAAGCTAGCTAATGCTTTGGGGCACCTCCTTCAGGAGCCTTCAGGGCCACCGCCCTGGCTTGAGTCCTCAGGGACTCCGAGCCCTTCCCTCTCAAGCCCCTTTCTTCCCATTGGGGCTTTCAGAAAGCCTATCCTTTCTAAAGCTGGAAAAGGAAGTGAGATGGATGGGGACAAGCTCCCTGCTCATTCTCCTCCCGTCACTCCCTCCGTCACTGGAGGCTCGATTGTTCTCAAAGAAGGGAAAAAGAGCTGAACCTAGAGAGAGGGAGGAGGGCAGGAAGAAATGCAGCCAGAGGAACAGAGCGCTAGAGCAAGGAAGTAATTCCAGATGGAGGAGTCTTTGTTCTGCACATCTCCCTGGCTCACAGGGAATAAGCCAAATCCCAGTTTCTCGGGGGAGGCAGGACTTGGAGATCTGGACCTCCTTCTAGCCCTAGAACAGTCCCTTAAGCATCCTGTCACCTTGGGCTTTTGGAAGTCTGTTTTCTCTTCAGAACTATTAGCACAGACTTCGGGTTCAGAGAGACCCCGCCCTTAGCACCTGCACGACCTTGGGCAACCTTGACATCAGTAAACCTGGGACTTCATTTATAAAATGAGCAGTAGCACATCAGAGTTGTGCTGTTTGGTTTTCCGTTTCCTAGGACACAATGCTGCTAACTGGGTTGAGTTATAAAGAAAGGGAGTTTGTGTTGGCTCACAGCCCTTGAGCTTTAAAATCACGTGGGGAGCACTGGTTTGCCCCGTGGAGGTCTTCTTGATGGAGAGATAGCATAGGTCATCACATGGCAAGATGCAGGGAATACACGTATGAACTTGTCTGTCTTCTGGCCTCCCCCTTCCCCTTCTCTCTTTTAATGGAGTATTGTGTGATATTTCGACACACGGACTCATGGTGGGATGTCCAAATCAGACTAAGTGTGTCTATCTTCTCAGACTCTATTCTTTAAAGCCACAAAGAAGTCAATGATGAGGCTCAGCCCTGACGGCCTTGTCTAGCCCTAATAGCCCTACAAAGGCAGACCACAGTCGGTTGTTTCCTCCCTCGGAATACTTTACTCCTATGATTGAGTTTACAACATACAAACGTGGGGGACACACTCACACCTCAGTGGTTGTTATGAGAATTAAATAAGAATTCAGTGGGGAGTAGGTAATTCAGGATCAGAGAACAGTGGTGCCTTTGAGAGCCAGGTAGCGTGGGTTCAAGCAACCATTTCCAGCTAAATGTGCAACCCACTCAGAATCCAGTCCATCTCTGTAGGAAGGAGTACCAAGAGCATATATATTCACAGGGCTGAGATAAGGTGCATGAAACTACTTTGTAGGGCTCTGCACAAAAGTGAAGGATTATTTTTGTTCTTAAGCCTGCCCTCCAACAACGGCTGAATAAGTACTGAAGTGGCCAAAAAGGGAGAGTAGGGGAAGGAATGTGAATCTCAGCAGGAGTAATCAAAAAAGCCTGCGTAATTCCCACACTGTTCCTAACACTGACAATTAAGCCAGAGCTGCAAGGAACAGTTCACATCCACGGGAGGAAGGTAAGGACTCCGGAGGGAGGGAGAATGGGGGTCCTGAGGCGGGGGCAAGGAAACCCAGCGCTACCAAACCCTGAGGAGACATGGAAGGCCCTAGCTTGGAGAGGGAAAAAGAGGGAGACCTTCCAGGCCCACTTCTGTGTCCCCCCTTGTGACCTCGACTCGCTTGTGATCCACAAAGCACAGATCCTGGCCTGGCGTCAAGAAATGCTGCTTTCCAATGCCCCCCACCTGGCAGCTACTGGGCAGATTCAAATACGCCTAGGGTTGGAGTCCAGAGGACAGGAGCTGTGCTATGCTCTGCTGGAGGTTGCCTCCCCTTGCCTCTCTTGCCTAGGGAAGAGCCCCTCCGGCCAAACCCTTCCTTGCCCCCCCACTTCTCCTTGGTCATTCTGAAACAGGACATGGTGCCAGGGCCACGGCTCTGCTGGTTCTGGGCTCCAGTGAGAGGCTGGATCTTGAGTTCCTGTCGGGAGCTCGGTAAACAAGGCTGTGCCAGGGAAATGTTTCCACAGATTAGTGCCTCCTGGGGTGGGGCAGCAACAGCAGGTGGCAGGAACTGGGCAGAGAAGGGAGCAAAGTTCCAGGAGCCGAGGGCAGCAGCTTGCTTTTTTCAGGCCCCAGCCTCTGGAACCAGGAGTTCTGGGGTTCCCTCAGAGCCTCCCCTCAAGCTCACCTGTCAGAGACCAGCTGACGCTACACAGACCCCTTTATTTGGTGGACCGTGCTTGGGGGAGCTTCTCAGTTTGACTAGAGAGTGGAGGAAGGAAGCAGAGGTAGGGCAGGCAGCTCCCAAGCCCACAAAGAGAGCAGGTGACTGACGGGAGAAAGGAAATTCTAGAAGACAGTCCAGCTCAAGTTAGCGTTCTATCTAGATAAACACCTGCTTGAGATCTTTCCAAAATCTGCACTTAACAAATGCGAAAGCAGACAAGTTGAACAACCAGCATGAGACAGGCCAACACCTTCCAAGACAGGGACAGAGGCAGTAGAGGCCGCTCAGGGGAAGAGTGCAGACGTCGTCGGAGGGATGTCAGGCTAGATCTGTGTATCTTCTCTGCCTCCTTGGAGCTTGCTCTATGGTGAGTGGAGGAGGGAGCCAGGCAGACGAACTCTGCACGACAAGGTGGTTTCCACCAAACCTTTTGTCAAAACCAGCTCTCCCTCCCCGCAGGTTAGTCCCGGCCCAGGGCTGGGCACCGTTGGCCTCACAGTTCATGCAGGTGAGGAACTGGTTCCTTGTAGGTGTCAGCATTCTGGATCAACTCAAAGATGAACTTCACCTGGTTCTCGTAGTTCTGGACTGAGATCTTCTCATTGATTCCATGGATACTGAGGGAAGAAGCGTTTGGGGGGAGGAGACAAGGGTCACACGAGCTGTCACAGAACACCCTTCCTGCCCCCTCCCCACCCATGACTGGTCTTTGGCCCTCCACGGGGGCAAGGTGAGAAAAGTCATTTGCCAGCTTCTGTGTGACATGCCAGTTATTTCTCAAGGACCTGTGCTCACACACAAGAACAGCAGGGAAAACAATGAATAAACTCTGGGGGAGTTTAACCCAGTCTTTGGTTCTGAGGTCCGTTTCTCCTCTAGTAGAATTATCTTCCTGATTCTCTTTTTCTTAGAATAGTCTCCTGCCTGAGTTTTCCCTATGGTTTTGCTCACAGGGGTAAGAGAGGGCAGGAAGGCAACAGCCCAGGGTACTCCCCTGCCCAGCCTCTACCTAGGAACACTGCCATTAGAGCTCACACTCCCCACCAAAGTGTGAAGATGATGGAAACAGAGGGGCCACTTACCCCAACTGGAACAAACCCCACAGCATAAATACCATGCTTTTTGGGTTTTTTGTTTGTTTGTTTGTTTTTTGTTTGTCTGTGTAGCCCTGGCTGACCCTGGAACTCACTATGTAGACCAGGCTGGCATTGAACTCAGAGATCTGCCTGCCTCTGCCTCCCGAGTGCTGGGATTAAAAGCGTGGGCCACCACTGCCTGGCTCCTCCTTATTTTTTTAAATGAACATAATATTTGCAATTGTAACCATTTTTAAGTTTACAATTCAGTGGCATGAATTACATTCAAGATATTAATTATACTCATGATATTCATTAATTACACTCATGATATTAATTACAGTTGTGGTATTCATTGATTACATTTGCAGTATTCATTCAATAACTATATTTATGATAATGAAGATCACATTCAAACGCTTTTATTCTGTTTCAAGTGACTTGTGGTGTGGTGAAGAAATCAGGCCTGATGTAACAGATTGCAGAAGGCTAAATGGAAATTATCTTCTCAACCTTCAAGAGTCAAAATTAGCTGAAGTGTCACAAAACAGTCACACATGACAGTTAAAACTGGTTCTCACATTTTGGATTTCCACGGTATTTCTTCTGAGGCCAAATGACATGACCACCTGCGAACTCATGTGCGTTTGCTTATCAAAGAATGTTGGAGGGTCTCCTTATTTTATAGGTGGAGAAAGTGAGGTCGAGGGGTGAGTAGTCTCTCACAGTGAGAAAGACTACTTAGAGGTCTCTTTCTTCCTTCCTTGACATGGTTTTGTTACATAGCTCAGGCTGGATTTAAGTTTGGCAATCCATGGGGCTGGAGAGATGGCTCAGCAGTTAAGAGCACTGTCTGTTCTTCCAGAGGATCTGGGTTTGAGTCCCAGCACCCATATGGTGGTTCACAGCCATCTGTTCTGGGGTGCCCCTTATGGCCCCCAAAGGCAATGCATGCAAATGTGTACAGCTAGCTATACATGCAAACAAAACACTCATACATAAAATAAGAATATTAAAAAAAATGGCCATCCTCCTGTCTCAGTCTCTTAAGTGCTAGGATTATAGGCTACTACATTCAGCTTTACCTTATTTTCAACAAGTTCTCACCAGTCACCTGATTCTCTCCACTTTTTAAAAGAGGAGTACACATGGGGGTTATTGCCACAATTCCTTGAGCCATGACGCCAAACTGGGATCTAGAATCTCTTTAATTTGTCAGAATCTGGCTTTCCTCTATTCTGAAAGTCACCCAAATGGGAAGGGACAGTTCAGATATATCTCCTCTCTGCCTTGCTGCTTAACCCTGTTCCACTTACCTACTGAAGCCCTGAGGCTGCAGGAAAATGGGGTTGAACAGGTAGATGCCGTTGGTGATGTTGGTATAGTGTCGGCTGTCTGTATTGGCAATACAGATCCCTAGAAAGGGAAGAGGAGGAGGAAATGGGCTTTATGTGAGCCACCCGGCCAATGAAGTAGGGGAAGCTGGGTGACTGACTGGGAGCCAATTCCTGGGACTTCCTAAGAGCATCTGCCTAGGACAGGGCTTCTCTGGGTAGCCCTGACTGTTCTGGAACTCGATCTGTAGACCAGGCTGGCCTCCAACTCAGAGATCTGCCTGCCTCTGCCTCCCGAGTGCTGGCACTTAAAGGCACGCAACACCTAGCACCTAGGACATTTTTCGTGGTCTAAGCTTCTTCTTTTCAAATCCTTACAAAAACTATAACTTTAACCAGGAACATGGAATGTCCTGGAAGCACTGGTGAGATAGCCCTGAGTGGTCAGAAGCTAAGTTGACCAGGATGACCAGGAGCCGTTTCATTGTATCCCCACAGTCAAGGCCATTTGCTGTTTGAGGAATCAAGAGTTTAGAGAGACCCCTTGGCCTGGATTGTGTATCACTTAGGACAGAAGTAAACTGTGGGGACACTTTACTGAGGTCGAACAAATCCCTCCTCATGCAGCAGAATGTTCTGCTGGTCTCATCTTCTGAGGGATGACTCTGTCCGGGAGGCAAAGCTAGGATAAGAAAAGTCCTAGGAAACTCCTCCCAATCTCCTACTGTCCTAAAGGATAGGTCACCCGGCTGGGCTGGGGTTCGCCTTGAATAGGCATGGTCTCTGGGAAAAGACATTCCCAGCATCAGTTCAAGGGCAGTGAGACACTTCAAGATGGTATTTTGTGTTTTGTTCTGTTTTCCTCTTCTCATTTCAAATGGGTCCCTGAGTCTTATTCTGTGCTTTGTGGATTTCTTCCTGTTGATTTTCTCCACCCCTATTGCAGTCTGACCCTACTGATGGGATGATGGCCAGAGGTAAGGATGGGGTGAAGAGAGCCTTTGAGGCTGAAAGAGGAGTATATGGACTGCGAGAGCCAGGGGTTCTTAGAAGTTCATAGAAAGCCATGTGTAAACCTACCTAGAAGGAACTGGACACAGGCTTTCACATTAGAACATGCCCACACATCGAGACCAGAGATTTGGAAACTGCTCAGTCATCACTATGCCAAAATCCTCTGGGAGCATCTTTCAAAAAGGCAGATTCCAGCTGGGATATACGAGTGGGTCCAGGTGTTCTACATGTTATGAAGTTCCCTGGGAGAACCACTGGCAGATTTAGATGGTATGCTAGAAGGTGGGGGAATGCACAGGGATCTGCAGGCATTAGACTGAGGAGCATTGGTATAAATGGACTCAGACAGAGGTTTTTCTGGGCTGCCATTCTGAGTGCGGCTGCTCAGCTGTTATTCTCCCGGAGGTAACTCCTCTAGGAGAGGAATATTCTAAGCCACCCCCTCCTCGATGGCAGAGGGACATGGAACACTGATGCTCTAGGTTAAGCAAGGACCCATCCTCGACTGACCTAATTTATTGTTTCTCTCCCTTTCCTGTTTCCTTTCTCACTTCCACCCCGAGGGGAAAATCCAGTTCCAGGGACAGAAAGAAGCAGCCAGCTGTTTCCAGGATGAATGGCTGGCTTGGGGGTAGGGAATGGGACATCAGATAGGAAGCAGCCCCAGCCACCACCACCCACCAGCCATAGCTGATGAAGTCATTACCGGGGACGACAATATTGACTTCCGGGAAGACAGACTGTATGGTCTGTTGAAGCAGCTGGTAGCCCATGGCCTGGGCATCTGAAGGGCTGACGGGCAGGGGCTCAAAGGATCTCAACACATGTAACTGGACGCGGTCATCAGCCACAATGTTCTTGACGAGTTCTAGGACCTTCAGGGTAGAAACAAAGAGGGTCACAGGTCTGCTATCTAAGCACCAAATTCAGATCTTTTGTTTCAACAAGGTAGCACTCTGGAGTTTAGAGAAAAGATTATTTTTTGCAATGGGATCCCAGCTTTTCCTGCCTGGCCGTGGGTGATGTAAGAGCTGGCACTTCCTAGAAAGCATGGCAGAATTCAGCTAAGTGTTTGGGAGGATTATCTTACAGCTCCGAGTCAGATGGGGAACTGGATAATCTGGAAGTTGTTTTTTTCCCTTGGGTTGTGGGCCATGGGCTTAGGTAAAGTCTAAGGGATAGTAGGATGAGAATCTCAGCCACCTCAAGGGGCCCGATTCTGCTCCAACCTGAGCGCCTTGGGGTGCAGCCACGGGTTGCAAAGGGCCAGACCACGTAGCTTTCTTTTTCCTCTCTTGAGCTGCTGCCGATTTGTAACCAAATACACCAAGCCAGAAAGATGAGCTCACCATGCACACAAAATCAGGAGCGTGGTGCTGTGGCTGAAGGGTTTCCCTTTGCCTCTTTTTATTGAGCAGGACCACAAGGAAACTCCCAGAAGATAGAGCCTGAGGTGACTAGGGGGAATCCATTGAAATCCCTGCTCCCAGGAAGGATGTGGAGGCTCAGGTCACATGAGGAAATGGACCTGGAGGCTTACAGTGGTCCCCCAATCCAGTCAGCCCCACAGGGAAAAGCTCAATATCCACCATTTGATCAGTGGTGAGTCTGAAGCTGCTTCTGCCCTACTAAGGCCCGTGTCTCATAGCTGGAGATCACCTGAATGGGGGCATTATTTGGAGTACTCATTTTAGGCCAATGGCCCCTAGAAGTGTGGTAGAAGCCACATCTGGAGGGAGCAGTGAAGGTTCCCACTTGTAGCTCAGAAACTCCATCAGAATCGAAGCAAATGCCCTTCGGGGAGTGGGTGTGAGGGTTATAAGAACTGGTTTTCCATCAGAGCTCAGCTTCACCTCAGCACTAGTACGCCCAATACTCTCAATATCAAATTCCCCGTGGGTATGGCTCAATGGCAGAATGCTTGCCTAGCATGCATAAGGCCCTAGGTTCAAGACCCACTACCTTAAAAAAAAGGTATGTACAGTCTGCACACATTGTTTTACCCAGGGAAAGGCTCTTAAGTTATTGCCTGTGCAGTAGACAGTGGCTGTGCCTGTTTTTCCTTCTTCAGTCACTCCAGAGGTTTCTGCATCTGGAAACTGAAGAAGGTATGATGACTGGGTCCTTTGAATGAGAGGCCGGGGCCGGATCAGAGGCAGACACTGTGTGTCAGCCTCATTCCCTTATAGTGTTAAGCAAGTAAAAGGAATAAATGTTGGCTACTTGAGCTAAAACAAACAAGAACCAATAAAAATGATAACAGGCGTGGTTTTCCTAAGTACCCCACCCATTGTACAGTTAGCAGCGCTGGGCTGAGTCTCTGAGTACCTAAGGAAGGTGCTTTACTGAGTCCTGAGTACACCGGAAGAGGAGGCGAGGATCAGAAAAGAATTCCTCAGTTAGGTGGTAGTGGCGCAGGTCTTTAATCCCAGCACTTGGGAGGCAGAGCCAGGAGGATCTCTGTGAGTTCGAGGCCAGCCTGGGCTACAGAGCGAGATCCAGGAAAGGCATCAAAGCTATACAGAGAAACCCTGTCTCGAAAAAGAAAACAATATAAAACAAAACAAAAAGAAAAGAAAAGCATTCATCTTAGGTGTGTAGTTTGGTGTTAGGAATTTTGAGTCTGAGGAGAGCAGGATATGGTACTGGTAGAGAAGAGGCAAAAAGATATTCCTAAGGTCGAGAAGGATGGGTTAAAGTGAATGAGGCATGACGAAAATGTCGTGCTCTGGATAACTGCTCACAGTGGTGTGACTTTGGGCAAGCCCCCAGACCTCTCTGTGCTGTTTGCTCCTCTGTGACCAGGAGCTGAGATTCTTCTCAGTGTTTATGACGTGTCTACTATTACATTCTGCTCAGTGCAGTATGCATGGTATGGAAGAAGGAATTGGGGTTAGGTGTTACAGCAAGCCATGCCTCAAATGCATCAGGAGGAAGATATTCATAACCAGCATGCTAAAAAAATGGGACAGTATATATTGAGTGTTTGCCCACTGTGGGTCTTCCGGTAAGCAGCCTACAGAGCGGGATGGAAGCTGGATTCACAACCATTAAGACCTGACCAAATTTTAGATAGCCAATACTCTTACCGTCAACAAACATAACACTCATGTGAAAGGAAAATATCTCTAGACATAAAAGAGAGCACCACAGACTGTGGTAATGTGTCGGAAGCACTGTAGACAGAGAACTAAAAGATCAGTGTACTCCGAAGCAACCTTGGAGATCTCTCTCCCCATTGGTAGTCCCTCCTTCTAGTCCCATTATTGTGCCTCTGATTATTGCTGGAGGGGTCATGTCCCTTCATTACAAACAGATGTACAATGACTGTAGCCCAGGGTGGCCTCTAACTTACTGTCTTACATGAACCCCCTGAGAGCAGGAGTAAAGGCCTGGCTGGCTGGCTGGCTGTGGTTGAGCATAGCTTTAATTCCAGCAGAGGCAGGAGGATCTGTGAGTCCAAGACCAGCCTGATCTACAGTGAGTTCCAGGCCAGTGGGGGCTACATAGTGAGACCCCGTATTTTTTTAAAAAAAAAAAAAGGCACATCAATATGGCCAGCTAACACTTCACTGCCCCTGCATTTAACTCTGCGTATGTTCCCACTGCCACTTCACAATCACGGTGTGACATGGCAGCCAATTACCTTTATGCTACTTCCCACTTCTTTTACCTTGTTCATTCGTTCGATAACTTGCTTGCTGCTGTCCCTTCTCACTGGACCACACACAAGTCCCATTAGAATGGGAATCTTGTCTTTCCGGGTCACTGCTATCCCAAGTGCTAAGAATGTCTAGCTAGGTCCAGAGGTGCAGGCCTGTAATCCTAGCTACTTTGGAGGGTGACAAGTTCAAGGCCAGTTTGGGTAACTTAGCAAGGCCCCGGTTTCAAAATAACAAAGTAGGAAAAAATGGGGAGGGGCTGGGAATATAATGGGAGGGCTCTCAACTAGAGTGTGTGTGTGTGTGTGTGTGTGTGTGTGTGTGTGTGTGTGTGTGTGTGTGTGTGTGTCCAGCCACCAACCTCTACACTGTGGGGAAAAGTAGATGTAGCTAGAAGGGAGCTGTGGCCTCCAGGTGTGTTCCCACTGGACCCAGCATGAAGCTCTGAGCTTGTGGCCCCTGGACAAGAAAGAGCGGTCAGAACAAATGGGCCCTCTGAGCTTTCTAAAGGATGGAGATTTTCCATCCCTCACTGGGGCAGGTGGCCAGGATGAGTCCTGGGGATTCCAGGAGTGTCATCAGATAGATAGGAGGGAAGGCCTCTGTGGTTAGGAGGGGAAAGTGCCAGGACCAGGGAGATGAAAGCCTTAATGGGTGGAAAACAGCCTTTGGAAAAGAATAGAGTTGGAATGGGCTGGAAAAAAAGAAAAAAAAAAAAAGCAGGTGGAAAGCTCAGCTGATTAAATCCAGTGATTTCCTGGTCCTATGAGCCTCCAGGGAGAGAACAAGGTTGGCACCTGATGAAAAGCAGCCGAATCCAGGATTCACACTGAGCTCAGGCCCCTCTCCCAAGGCCGGGCATGCTGTTAACCCACTCCTGTGTCTGTCATGAGTGCACCTCCCTCCCTGCATAGGGGCAGATGAATCTTACATGGGAAGGACTCTTGAAAACCAACAAGGAGAGAGAAACCTAGGTGTGTCTGACCCTTGAGGATATGGGCCAGAGTCCCTACTGTATTCTAGAATGTACCATCCACCTCCCAGCTGCTGGGTTGCCCTCTTGGGGTTTTCTTTTTTTGCTGTTATTGTCATTGTGAATGTGTGTGTGTGCGTTCATGTGCATATATGTCCCTATGTGTGTGCATGTGTGATAAACAGATCAGAGGTCAATGTTGGGTACCTTTCTCTATTGTTCTCTGCCTTACTTTTTATTTTTGAGACAAGATCTCACTATGTAGCCTTGCCTGGTGTAGTTGTTTGAATAGGAATGGTCCCCATATCTCATATGTTTGAATGCTTAGTTATCAGGGAGTGGGACTGCTTAGAAGGATTAGAAGGGGTGGCCTTGTTGGAGGAAGTGTGCCACTGGGCATGGGCTTTGAGGTGTCAAAAGCCCAAACCAGGCCCAGGGTCTCTCTCTTCCTGGTGCCTGTGGCTCCAGATGTAGAACTCTCAGCTACCTCTCCAGCACCAAGTCTGCCTGTGTGCTGCCATGCTTCCTGCCATGGTAAGAATGGACTAAGGCCCTGAAACTTTAAGCAAGCCCCCAATGAAATGCTTCGTTGAGTTGCTGAGGTCATGGTGTCTCTTCACAGCACCTGAACACTGACTAAGACATCTGGCTTGGAACTTGCTATACAGACCAGGCTGGCCTTGATCTCAGAGTTTCACTTACCTCTGTCTCCCCCAAGTTCTGGGGTTAAATGCATGTACCATCTCATCCTGGTCCACCTTATGTTTTTAGGACAGGGTCTGAGCTTAGAGCTCACCAAGTCAGCTAGATCGACTAGGTAGCCAGCAAGCTCCTAGAACCCTAGCTCTGCTCCCCAAGTGCTAGGTTAAGAGGTGCACTGTGGAACAATCCTTTTCTACACTATGAATGTGTTACTCTCATTGGTTAATAAAAAGCTGACAGGTCAGTAGCTGGGCAGGAAGTTAGGCAGGAAAGCCAAACTGAGGATGATGGGAAGGAGAAGGGCGGAGTCAGCAGCTGCCAGCCAGATGCAGAGGGAGTAAGATGAGAATGTTGTACTGAGAAAAGGTACCAAGCCACGTGGCTAAACATAGATAAGAATTGTGAATTAATTTAAGTGTAAGAGCTAGTTAGTAATAAGCTTGAGCTACTGGCTGAGCATTTATAATTCATATAAGCGGCTGTGTGTTTATTTGGGACATGGAAATGTCCACTCACAGTTTACCTGGCTTTTCTGTGGGTGCTGGGGATCCAAACTGAGGTCCTCAGGCTTACATGGCAAGCACTCTCCCACTGAGCCATTTCCCCAGCTCCTGCTCTGCTTTCCATTGATCTACTTGGTTTTGTTGTTACTGAGAATTTCATGAGTACTATGTTTACATCATTCCACCCTTTAACTCCTCTCATATTCCCCCACTCTTTCTCAAATTCATCGCCTCATTCTTTAAATTATTATTTTTTACAAGCTGACACCCCCCCCCACACACACACACTTACAACTAGCTGAGTTCATTTAGTATTGCTCATGTCTTGTTTTTGAGGCAAGGTCTCTAGCCTAAGCTAGTCTCAAACTTCCCCTATATTCTCATTTATCTACTCTTTTTGCCTTAAGACCTTATTTTTAGCAAACTTTTTTTAAATTTTATTTTAAAGATTTATTATACAGTGTTCTGTCTGCATGTATCTTGCAGGCCAGAAGAGGGCGCCAGACCCCATTACAGATGGTTGTAAGCCACCATGTAGTTGCTGGGAATTGAACTCAGGACCTCTGGAAGAGGTGCTTTTAACCACTGAGCCATCTCTCTAGCCCCTCTTAGCAACATCTTAATGGTCCTTTAACACCCAGCTCAGATTTCTATTAGTAAGAAAAGGCTGTTTTGACCTTCGAGGTGGCTTTGCAGTGATCCTGTGGGAGACTGTTCACCCCTGATTATTACAGTAGTGAAGGGTTGGAAAAAGCAGCAGCCCTGGAGCCAGATTGTCGGATATGTACTCACAGGCATCCTGCCTAACTGCTCTGTTGCTCTGCACCCCAGCTCTCCTTAGCTGAGTGGGACAGTAGAGATCCTACCTTATTGGGTGGTGTGAGTGCTAATGAGTAAGTGCATGTGTCTGTACACCAAAGCACAGTGCCAAGCACATAGCAAGCCCATTATAAAGATTTAAACTATCACTATCATTTAGCTGTATTTCTTTCTCAACCTCAGACTCCAAGTTTTCCCAAACCATATATGTCTTATGCAACTGATACATAGGAACTTTTGGAAAACAAAACAAAACAAACCTCAGGTTTGCTACTTCTTGAAGTTGCCCCTGCTCTTTGGAACATAAGTACATACCTCGTGTACGGTCTGCGAAGGGTGAATCCGGAAGTTGATTGTAGCCTGAGCAAATGGGGGGATGACATTCACCTAGACAGAGAACCAGAAAGCTGGCCTGAACCCTCCTCATGCCTTCCAGTGCTGGCCCCTGCCCAGGAAACACCAACTACCAACCAGGAGGAAGGGAAGCAACCACCCTGGTCTAAGGAGCCAGGGCTGGAGTCTGCCCTGGTCTTCTGGTCTTCGACCTGCTGTTATATTAAACACTTTTAGGGCCTCTGCTTTAGGTGAGATCTATGTGTTTCTTGGTCCTGGAGGGCTCACAGAACAGGGTTGCTTTCCCTGCAACTGCACAGACAACTCTGTGCTGTGCCATTGGGAGCCTTCTGTGCGCATGTTCCCAGGACACCCTGGCCATTTCTGTTAACACTGGCTCTTACTCGTGGTGGAACACCCAGGGTCTCCAGGGTCTCCTCCACAGTAAGCTGTGTTTAATCCCTTAAGGGATGGTAGTGGTGGTTGTTTTACATGTCTGGGTACAAAATCTACCGATTTTTTGTCTGAGCTTATGACTAGTGTGGAGAAGACAGGCTACAGAGGGATTATTTCCTTGATGTCTTGAGAGACATTTCCTTTATCTTTCTCTGAACTGGTAAGATGACAAAAAAAGCACCAGATTCGGTAACATGCTGGGCTAGTACAAACTGGCAGTGTGATTTTTGAGTAGCTGCTCCTTCACAGCACCTCTGCTTTTCCAGCTGGCGGTTGGAGCGATGCTACTTGCATAGTTCTAGAAGAATCAAATGGAGTATCCCCCGGCCCCGGTGGAGAGAACACCCCAGCACAAAGGCAAGAGCACAATATGTTGGTGATCAAGCAATAGCTGGACATATACGACTACTTTTAACAAGAGCTGGTGAAGATCACCTGGGTTGGCTCAGGTTCGTTACGGCAGAAGTAAGTTTGGAGGCATCATTCACTTCTGTCAAAACTTGGGACCCAGGCGTGGTGGCGCATGCCTTGGATCCCAGCACTCAGGAAGTAGAGGCAGGCAGATCTCTGTGGGTTTTAGGCCAACCTGGTCTACATAGTGAGTTCTGGATCAGCAAGGGCTACACAGTGAGACACCATACAAATAAAACGCCAAGCCCAAATCAGTCTCGTTTTCCAGATTAGTACAGTTCAAGATCATATTGTGCTTCAGGGAAATGGCAGTGCTTGAAGTTGTGTTGGCGGTCTTGAAGGTTATGGGGGGGTCTAATTCTCTTCAAAGCCCTATGCTTGTGGGCCAGGCTTGGTCCCTCAACAAGAGACACTCTTTAGTAGTTCAACTGCAAGTGAGCCAGTTTACTGAAAACTTAATGCTTTCTTTATGGAAGAAAAGCTTATCAAATTATTGATCCTTATTTCTAGAAAAGTAAGACTTACATAGTAAATTACATTTACTGAGGCAGATTTTGGGAAAAGATATCATAAATTTTATGAGTGGCAAGTGAGTGTGTCTTTGAATTTATACCTGGGGGACATACATTAACCACCCACTGAATTAGTTCGGTGGATAAATCTTCAAAAACCTTTGTTTTATGAAAGATTCTACTTGGCCGGTGCTGTGGTGCAGTGGTAGAGCCCTCACCAGGTAGAAGGCTATAGATTCAACCTCTGGCCCTACTAAAAATCAACAAAAATAAATAGAGACCTTAGACGATTAAAGGGTGTGAAAGTTTTAGTCCTTATGACCGAAGTGCTAGGAAAATATAAAACATGTGGAATTACATTCGGGGCATGGGTTAGGAGACCCAGTCCCCCGGTCCCCCTCTACACATGCTTAGATAGCTGTGACCACACTCAGTGGGCTATAGACTTTTGCTGGAGCCTTTGTTCTTGAGGCTTCTCCAGCGGATGTCAGAACAGTGGCACGGGACCACACTGGCCCTTCCTTTACTGTAGCCACAGCAGGAAGGGGAAGCCCGTATATAAGTTCAAGGGCTGGAGGTGCAAGTGTAGCCGGAGGAACCGGATGAGGTTACCTTGACTCCTGCGTTGAATATGGTGAGGGCTGTGGTGGTTCTGACCAGCGCGTTGGTTACGGGATTCCTCTCCATCAGCCTACAGGGAAAAGGTTATGGTTAGACATTAAGAAGGAGGCTTGGAATTTCACCCTCTGTCCTAAACCTTGGAGACCTTTAAGGCTGAGAGAGACACCAGACTATACGTTAATTACACAAAGTATCTATGGCTAGGTAAGCCAAGAAATGGGGGTGCTGGGGGCTGCAGAGGGGAGGTTTAGAGGGGGAAACATAATACATTACCTGCTGACAATGGGCCGAAATAGCCACAGGTTGTTCAAGACTATATTGGCAGGGAAGGGAAACTGGAAAAGAAAGATCAAGGTCAGCAGGAGGGAATGGGTCCACACAGCAGCTGCTGCTGAGGCCTGAGTCTCTCTACTCGAGGCCTACCTCAGGGTTCAGTGCTCAATACCTCCCCCCTCACCCCATCAGCTGACTCAGTCTCCGCTGGAGGGAGGCAGTTTCCACTGGGATGGACAAATCTGATTCTTTGGAACAATTGCTCAGCAGTCACAAAGGATGAGTGAGAAACAGATTTCCAGGGGACCTGGGCATGTTAGGCCGCAGGACCTTGGGTAAGTCCTATCAGCTTCAGACAACACGCCCGCCCGTCTTGGCTCAGCCACAGGCTGGGCTGAGGTGAGAATGGGCGGAGACCTGACTGACAGAGTGGCCCTTTTATTACTCTCCAGCTCCTTCCTTCTCCACCCACTTTCTGCTCCTCCAACATAGCTGGCCAGGAGCATGGAACGTTCCTCCCACACCTCATTTGCCAGTAGTTTCAATGCCTTCTTCATTGGCCCACTTCCAAACATGTTCGGCATTGGTGTCTGCTCCAGTCTGGAAGAGAAACAGAGTTCTCAAGACTAGGCCTCTCCCAGACCAAGATCAGCATCCTGAGGATGCAGGAGACGGGTACAAGTTTCAACAAGTCTGCTCAGTCATCCACCCGCCTGTCACCTCCACCAAGCCGAGCTGAAGGTCCAGAGCATCAGCAGGAGCCTTCCTGGCCACAAGTGGAAGTCAGGGTCACGTCCTTCTCTTGCTCCGCTTCTCTGCCACCCTGTGCCCACTCTCGCCATGCTTATCAAATTGTGGCAGGACTGCCAGTCTACTGTACTAACTTGGGCTTCCTTAGGGTAGGGGCCATCTCAATTTTTACCACATTCCCCGACACAAAGCAGCTCTGTCCTAGTTAGGGTTACTATTGCTGTGATGAAACACCATGAGCAAGAGCAACTTGGGGAGAAAAGGGTTAATTGATGCAGAGGTCACACAGGGGTGCTGCTCACTGGCTTGCTCCCCATGGCTTGCTGCTTTATAGCACCCAGGACCACCAGCCCAGGGATGGTACCACCCACACTGGGCTGGGCCCTCTCACATCAACCACTAATTAAGAAAATGCCCCACAGGCTTGCCTATACCCCCCTCTTATGGAGGTATTTTCTCAACGGAGGCTCCCTCCTCTCCGATGACTCTGGCTTGTGTCAAGCTGACTGAACTAGCCAGCACACTTTCTTTTTACTTTGCTCAGAGAACCTAGACACAGGTAAGTGTTGTTCTTGTAAACCTGGGTCTTTATCCACAGCCAGTGCCTCTTATTTATCTTGGTCCTCCTGCCAGAGCAGCAGAATTTAGACAGCTTTACCAGTCCCTGCCAACTCGTAATTCTAACTGTTTGGCTGGGCTCCGGACGACCCAGCTCTCTGGCTAGGTTTCTGTCTTCTGGTTCCTGCATGCCCTCTAGCTGTACTGATAGATCCTTTGATCCTAGTCCTGTTCTTGGTACTGGTGGCCTGCACCTCTGCTCCTCGGGCCAGCTTTATGGCAGGAAGCATAGGCAGGCTGGCTCTTCAGTCTCAGAGTGGGCAAATACCAGGTCTTCCATCCAAAACAGTCCTGGGATGGGAGCCAGGAGCTGCGGCGGGGCCAGGAGCTGCTTACCGGCTGACAGCGGCGGAAAGGATGCCAATGCTCGTCTCCTTTGGGGGAGCTGAAGAGTGGCCTGGAGTCATGTTGACTCGGAGCATCAGATCAAGGGCACCCTTCTCTGAGACTGAGATCCTGTGGGAGAGGACCAGAGATGAGTCTTCAGGCTGCTTCCCTAGACCCACAGGGCTCATGTTGTATGAGAGTTTGTTTGTGTTCTGACAAATACAGTTTGCCTGAAGATCAGAGGGTGGAGCTAGCCACTAGTTAAAACCATAGAGCCAGGCAGCAGTGGCACACACCTTTAATCTCAGCCCTTGGGAGGATCACGCCTTTAATCCCAGCACTAGGGAAGTGGAGACAGGAATATAAGATGGGTAGAGGAGGACCCAGGTTCAACTCCAGCACCCACATGGCAGCTTACAGCTGTCTGTAACTCCAAGATTTGACAGCCTCACACAGACACACATGCAAGCAAAACACCAATGCACGTAAAATAAAAACAAGCTGGAGAGACGGCTCAGTGGTTAAGAGCACCAACTGCTCTTCCAGAGGTCCTGAGTTCAATTCCCAGCAACCACATGGTGACTCATAACCACTTATAATGAGATCTGGTGCCCTCTTCTGGCCTGCAGGGACACATGCAAGCAGAATACTGTACACATAATAAATAAATAAATAAATAAATAAATAAATAAATAAATAAATAAATAAGATAAGGTGGATAGAGACAGGATCTTGCCCATTCAGTCTGAGATTTTGTAGAATTAAGAAGTCACCCTAAAGCCGGGCGGTGGTGGCGCACGCCTTTAATCCCAGCACTCGGGAGGCAGAGCCAGGCGGATCTCTGTGAGTTCGAGGCCAGCCTGGTCTCCAAAGCGAGTTCCAGGAAAGGCACAAAGCTACACAGAGAAACCCTGTCTCGAAAAACCAAAAAAAAAAAAAAAAAAAAAAAAAAAAGCCGGCTGGTGGTGGCGCACGCCTTTAACCCCAGCACTCGGGAGGCAGAGGCAGGTGGATCTCTGTGAGTTCGAGGCCAGCCTGGTCTACAAAGCGAGATCCAGGACAGGCTCCAAAAAGCTACACAAAGAAACTGTCTCAAAAAACAAAAACAAAACAACAAAACAAAAAGATTGCACTTCGGGCTCATCTGCATGATGGTCTGGTGGTCTGGGAGGTTAGTCTCATGCTGTTTTGAAAAATTCAACCCTAGAGGAAGGGCATGAGGGGAAGTCCAGCCCAGGACATGTTGAGGATGAGGGTGAGTAACACAACAGAATGTGACTGGGGCTTACAGGTGGCGGGCTGCAGAGTCTCAAATAGATCGATAACTCTCTCAGGGTGGAAGGTGGGGTGCTTCACTTACATGGCAAAGGGCTTCTTGAGGTTTGGAATAAAATCTTCCAAGATGAAGCTCCCCTCGTCCACAAGGAAGGCCAGCTGAACACCCCTAGCCTGCAGGAGTGCTGAGATCTTCTGAGCTCCCTTTGTCCCCGACACCTGCAGAACACCCAGAACACAAAGCTAATGTCCTTCTCCCCCCAGAAACAGACACATAGACAGCGAATGTGGACTCCCTCAGCTGGCCCCTCCAGAACCTTCCTTCCTAGTCTTTTTTGGTGGGACAGGGCCCCAGATAATTCTGTCTCACAGAATCATCCAATGTCCGAGTCCCTCTGGGTCCCGCTATTTTCACAAACGAAGAAACTGGGATCCAGAAGTGAAGGGTTTGTCAAGGTTTAAAGCCGGCGGCATCTCCGGGAATGAAACGCTCAGTTCTCTTTCTGCTGTACTTCAGTCTCCTGGGGTAGCATTGCCAGACTATCTGCTTGCCTTAGCTATTACGAGGAAGTTTAGTTCTGGCACACAGAGAAACTGGCGAACAGCTACAGAATCTCATGGAGCCTCTGCAGCTGATGGGTATACTGGATCAGGGTAAAGCACCCTACCTCTAAGAGACCCTGAGACAGGTACTGGGTACACGGCTTACCTCCTCATCATGGCCCAACGCTATGAAGAAAGACCTTCTGGGTCTATAGTTTCTGATCAACAGGAGCTCCAAGGCCTGCAGGATTGCCTAGGATTCAGAAGAGAAGAAAGGTTCACTATCTAAGTAGGGTGTCAGAGTCATTCATCAGGGATGGTGGTACTAAGCTCTGATAGACTAGCTTTGAAGAGAACAACTTCAGGTGGTCCAGAGCTCTGTAGAAAACCCTTAATACCTGAGAAAAGCATGCATCTATCAATGCCAGCTGAAAGGGTCCCTGTGCAGTGGATTATCTACCCCCAGTTCCTACATGGTTGAGAAATCAAGATCCAGAAAAATTGATAGCTACCATTCAGGCCTCCTACAGCCTATTCTTTTTCTTTCTTTTTTTCTTTCTTTATTTCTTTCTTTCTCTTCCTCTCTCTCCCTTCCTCCCTCCCTTCCTTCTATATGCCAGGCTGGCCTTGAACTCAGAGATCCACCTGCCTCTGCCTTTTGAGTGCTGAGATGAAAGGCGTGCGCCGCCGCCGCCGCCACCACCACCCAGCTCCAGCTAATTCTTTCAACCATAACCTCCTGTCTCTCCCACAGCCAGTCAAATTCTCCCATCCTGGAGTAAACTTTGGGCTCTAGGTCAGGTATGAAGCATAGCATTTCAGACCATCACGGAGTTTTTGTTGTCCAGTGTGCCCCGGCCATGGATGAAGCCGTCTCGCTCCAGGCCTGAGAACGGGGGCACCTCCCATCCTTCCTCAGGGGCAGGAACCACGTCAAAGTGAGCCATCAGCATGTAGGGCTGCAAACTGGAGTCCGAGCCTTGGACAGTAAATAGGTGGCTGTAGTTTGACACAACTTCATGTTGGATAAGGCTGCTGTGGAACACTGTAGGGAAGACTGGAGACAAAGGAATAAGAAGCAGTTAGAAAGCCAGGGCCAGTTTCCTTCTGTCCCTCCCATTTCCCGCTCCTAAGACCTTTTCTGTTCTTTCTTTCTCTCTCTCTCTCTTTTTTTTTTTTTTGAGACAGGGTTTCTCTGTGTAGCTTTGCTCCTTTCCTGGATCTCTCTCTGTAGACCAGGCTGGCCTCGAACTCACAAAAATCCACCTAGCTGTGCCTCCCGAGTGCTGGGATTAAAGGCGTGCGCCACCACTGCCTGGCTCTCTATTTTTGAATGTGAATGCTCCTCACAGATATAAATTCTGATCCATCTATTCACTTTCTGAAATTCCTCTTCTGTGTGTGTGTGTGTGTGTGTACATTATAATATATATGTAACATAATGTATACACACAGACATTCCCTCCAGGATCAAACCCCTCCTATTTTAATATGCTATTTAAAACCGTCCCATTGAATATTAGAGCTGGAGAGACGGCTCAGAGGTTAAGAACATTAGCTGCTCTTGCAAAGGACTCAGATTCAATTCCTAGCACCCACAACCATCTGTAACTCCAGTTCCAAGGAGATCTGATGCCCTCTCCTGGCCTCTGAGGAAACTGTATACATAGTGCACAGACATACATGCAGGCAAAACAGCCACACATGTGGACTATTCCTTTACTCTGTGTGAATATATGTTGCTGTGATTGGTTTAATAAAGAAGCTGACTGGCCAATAGCTGGACAGGATAAGGTTAGGCGGGAGGGCCAGACTGAGAATGCTGGGAGGAAGAAGGGTGGAGTCTGAGGAGTCATTAGCTCAGGCAAGATGGGCAACAAAGGAGATAGATTCAAGGATCTTGCTCTGAAAAGAAAAGGGGATATAGAAATGATAGGATAAAAGAGTAGATTATTGAATCTATTTTAATCCAAAAGACAAATATTAATCTCAAAATTTTACATTGTATGGATTTTAGTTTGATGCAAATTTAAAGTTAACTTTGTTATACTGGATGCATGTTTCTACTCTTGTTTAGGGTATTATGTTTATGCAGCTTATTTAAAAATGTAATATAATTAATAAATATAGATTAATAGCCATCTATAATAGTCAAATTTATGGTCATGTTAGGTATGTTTCCAAGGTAATAAACAGATATGTTTAGATAGCTAGATGGTCTTCACTTCAAAGACCTATAGAATATGGCATTTAATGTTTAATAACCTAAGGCTTTTCATGGCAGCAAGACACATCTGTTCCTGACAGCCCCAATTTACTTCAGAAAAGATGATGGGCATCAAGGTACCTCCATATGGAGTTTGCTTTCTTTATGGCAAAAGCTGGCCACCTGGGCAAAGAAACTGCCCTTGCCTCAATTACTGACAGTATGCTGGCCAAACTGGACCAGCAGGATGCAGACAGAGAGCCAGAGACATGCAAGGATCTAGTTAGAGTTACTATTGCTGTGATGAAACACCATGACCAAAGCAACTGGGGGAGGAAAGGGTTAATTTGACTTAAACTTCCTCATCACTGTCCATCACTGAAGGAAGTAAGGATGGGAACTCACACAGGGCAGGAACCTGGAGGCAGGAGCTGATGCAGAGGCCATGGAGGGGTGCAGTTAACAGGCTTGCCCCCCCCCCCCCCCGCTTGCTCAGCATGCTTTCTTTTCTTTTTTTCAAACTTTATTTTTATTTATCCTCTGTGTCTTTCATATCATGCCTCCTGGTCCCACCAGCTCCCTCTCCCATCTCCTCCCCCGCCCCCTGTAAAACAAAATAAAATTTAAGAGAAAAAAGGAAAAAGAAAGGGAAAGAAAGGGAGAGAAAGGGAAAATCTCGTCACGGAAGTTGCAGTGTGACACAGTGAGTCACGCAGCAAACCCCTTTCTCCATCCATCTTTACATGCAGCCTGCTTTCTTGCAGAACCCGGGACCAGCAGCCCTGGGATGGCCCCACCCACGATGGGCTGGACCCTCCCCCATCAATCACTGATTAAGGAAATGACCTACAGGCTCTGTACAGTCCAATCTTTTGGAGGCATTTTCTCAGCCGAGCTTCCCTCCTCTCCGATGTTGACTAGCCTGAGTCAAGTTGACGTTAAACTATTCAAGACAGCAAAATTTGATTTTCTTTTCTGTTTTTTGAGACATGCTTTCACCATGTAGTCTATGAACCCATGATCCTCCTGCCTTGCCTTCTGGGGTTACAGATGTGAGCCGCCATGTCTAGCTTTTCATATTTTCAATCAAAGGTTGGTAGAACCCACACATGAAATCCATGGATACGGACAGCTGTGTTTAATATTTTTAAAAACTGATTACTTTTTAAAGTATGTGTGTTTTGCCTGATTATATGTCGGTGTACCCCATACAATCAGATGCATAATGAAAATTCATGCTTTTTATGCCCACAGAACACATTTCTGTACAGTGCCAAATACCCCCCCAGAACTACACTGAGCCATCTTGTAACAGACACAATACTAGACAGCTACTGACATCATAGTCACTTTCTTAGGGGAAAGGCTCTCCCCAAGGGTAAAGAACCATGGACCTGTCTGTGATGTGCTGGGATGGGGAGCATAGAGCATGATCCCACTTTAGAATTGGTCAGAGACTGCTATTTGGGCACCCCCACCAACTTTTTCTCTTACTGGATTGTCAAAATAGACAAATGTTTGCTGTTATTGTATCTTCCATGAATAAATATTTATTTAGACATATTTAGACAAGGTCTCTACATAGCTCAGGCTGTCCTGGAAGTCACTATGTAGGCCAGGCTGGCCTTGAACTCACAAAGATCCACCTGCCTCTATTTCCTGAGTGCTTGGATTAAAGGTATGTTTTTTTTGTTTTTGACTTCTCTGTTTAGCCCAGGCTGCCCTAACTCACTCTGTAGGCTAGGTTAGCCTTAAACTCAGAGATCTGCCTGCCTCTGCCTCCCCAGTACTGGGATTAAAAGTAAGAGTCACCGCAGCCTGGCAAACTTTTTTTTTTCCCAAGACAGGGTTTCTTTGTGTAGTTTTGGTGTCTGTCCTAGATCTCACTCTGTAGACCAGGCTGGCCTTGAACTCAGAGATCTGCCTGGCTCTGCCTCCCGAGTGCTGGGATTAAAGGCGTGTGCCACCACTGTCCGGCTAAAACTTATATATATATATATATATATATATATATATATATATATATAGTGTGTGTGTGTGTGTGTAAGTATATATATATTATTATAAATATCTATAAATATCTATCGCTTAGTCCACTGTCACTGTATATATTTAGTTTTCTAATCTAAATTGTTTTTATTTTTGGTGAGAGAGGAGAGGGGGTGGGGAAGACAGACTTGGGATAGCATCCAGGGTCTTGCAAACAGCAGGCAAACACTCTACCACTGAGCTGTATCTCCAGGCCCCCCAGTTCATTCCCTCTCTCATCCCCTCCCTTCTCTGGCAATGACTTCTTGCCTGGTGACAAGGCTTTAGTCCCAGATCCATTTGTCCCGGAGTGTTAGAGAGGGGACTCCTTGATGCTCCTAAGCCTGCTTCTTCCACTCTGACGTCCTGAAAGGGGGCCTCTCCATTCTCCACTAGATTTCTTTCATTTTTCTTTTTCTTTTTTACTAAGGAGGATTCTAACACCCTCCTCAATGCATTATTCCCGGCTCTGGGCTCCACAGTCATCAAGGGAGAGGATGATAGGACAGGTGGAGGATGCTGGCTGCCAAAAGGCTTAGGATCGTGTTAGTAATTACTGTAAATGGAGTGAGCCCACTAGGTGGAGTGCCTTGCAAGCTGTATGACTGGGTGTACAGTAGTAGGAGTGGGAGGTGCTGGGACAGAGTTCTAGACATTTGCACGAGGGAAGGAACCCCTTGTTTTACCTGCTAATGATCTACATCGAACGGATACGTACTTGGAGAACTATGGCTAGTTCTTAGTTCTTCAAAGGCGAATCCATAATGCTCACTTTACCCTCTACCGTGTGGCTTCTGGATTCTCTCTTCTACACGGTCCACGTACAAAGTAAAAAGCAACCCCTGAGAATGTGACTGTCCTCTATCAGTGACAAAGTATATTTCCTTATCACCTTGTCAAGGACAAGGCCTCCAGTGTATCTCTGCCACCCCGGGTCCCCAGTTTGCAGCTGACCTTTTCGAATGTATTCTCCAAACTCTGCAAGGGCTGTGGTGTTGGATTCCTCATGGCTGAAAGACACGGTGGGAATCTGGATGGCACCTGTCAAGATTCAACAGGCAGAGATGGAGGATTCAAGTTGATAGAGGTTAGATGTTTCTAATAAAAATCTGAAACCACCGGGCATGGTGGCGCACGCCTTTAATCCCAGCACTCCGGAGGCAGAGGCAGGTGGATCTCTGAGTTCAAGGCCAGCCTGGTCTACAGAGTTAGTTCTAGAACAGCCAGGACTACATAGAAATTCTGTCTTGAAAACAGAAAGTCTGAAACCATAGCTGAATGTGGTGGTGCACACCTGTAACCCCAGCACCTCAGAGGACAAAACAAGATTACAATTTTGAGTCTAGGCTGGGATAGCAGGAAACTGTCTCAAATAGAAGATTAAAAAAAATTGAAATTCAAAACTTTGAGTGTCAACATGACATTAAGAAAATTTTGGACTTTAGAGCACTTAGGTTTTGTCTGGAAGACACATCACCTCTAGTTAAGGATCAATTTTATCATAAGGAAGAATTTTTTTTTCCTCCAGACAGGGTTTTTCTGTGTAGTTTTGGTGCTTGTCCTGGATCTCACTCTGTAGCCCAGGCTGGCCTTGAACTCAGAGATCCGCCTGGCTCTTCCTCGGATTAAAGGCGTGAACCAGGCCTGGGCAGTGGTGGCACATGCCTTTAATTCCAGCACTCAGGAGGCAGACCAGGCAGATCTCTGTGAGTTCGAGGCCAGCCAAAGCAAGTTCCAGCAAAGGCGCAAAGCTACACAGAGAAACCCTGTCTCGAAAAACAAAAACAAAAAAAGGCGTGAACCACCACCATCCAGCTCCAAAGGGGTAATCTTAAGTCCAAAAAGATTAAACTGCCCACCTGAGGGCAGATACAGCATCTGAACGTGGATGCTCTGCATCTTGTTAAAGAGTTCCACTACCCCATGCTGTTATAAGGTCTTGGTAAACTTTGTTTTCTTCTGTGCAAAGGGGCTCTGCCGCAGCCCACCAGTTTGCAGAGGGCTATTTGCATGACAGGAAAGCTCTCCCCAGGCCTATCACTCCAGGATATGCACAATCCATCTCCCACGGAGGGGCTAGCATTTGCTCCCTGTGCTGGCCTGCACATGTTTGCGTATGCAGTTTTTATTAATCCACTATTTCATGACCGGAAAAGAAGAGTTGAGCCCAGTGGTCACAAAGCATCCCATGAGCCCACACAAACGCTCCTCTTTCGGAAGGCACAGACTTAGGCCAATGAGTTAGTTGCCTTGTTAGACCCTCTTACTAGGGGGCAACTAGATACATATTACACCCCAAGAACAATTCATTTCCCTCAGAGCCAGCGAGTCCCACTGCCTCTAAAATGTTGCTACCCACCCAGAGCCCAGTCCTTGCCGGGCCTCATTTAACGAAGCTAATCAGTTTTAAGACACCGCGGAGATTTAACAGACATGAAACCTTTCACAAGTTGAAAGTGCTACAAACACGTATCGGAGGCAGGCAGGGGTAGAGTGGGTGCCGGCTCTGCGGAGAGTTGAGAAGCCGGAGCCTCCAGGCTAGGTAAGGGGACACCGACGCGAGGGGCATGCCAGACCCGTGCACCGTGTGCCGGGACGTGTGCGGGAACGCTGACTGGGCTGGCCGGCGGCGGTGTGGCGCACCGGGTGGCACTCTAGCCTGAGCAGTGGTGGGTCCCTCTGCAAAGGGTGACAGTCCGGGGCTGCCTGGGGACTGAGGGACCCGCATCTGAGCACAAGGGGGCGGGGGCTCACCTTTCAGTGCCTCTTTCATAGCGACGCGCTCCTCCTCGCTGAACTGGGAAGGGATCCGCGACATCCCGCTAGGGTCGGTGGATCCAGAGACGGTGGCCGGAAAAAGCAGGAGTGCAGCTGCCAGCGTCCGCACGCTAACGCACAGTCCAGCCATATCTTCTCTCCCGCGGCGCCTGCAGTCAGGCTGGAGTTCGGACCTAAGAGCCCAAAGCCTGACTCGCCGCTGACCAATCATCGCTTGGCCTGGATGGCAACAGCCAATCAACAGGACGACCCCGCCCCCGCCCCGCAAAGCCTGTAGGGGTGTGTGGTTTCCCACGGTAGGCGGGAGTAGAGTCAGGAAGCGAACTGTGAAGCAATACTACGCTCTAGGCAAAGGTTTGGGCCAGTCCTCTGGTGCTTGGCGACACTGTGAATCTTTTGCTGGATGAGAGGAAGCCAGTTAAGTGGGCGTGTAAACCAAGTTTATTAGACCTCAGTCTTTCTGGAGTCTGTTTAGATTTAGATTTTGACTCCTAGTCCCTAGGGATTTCGGCTTTAATTTCATCTACCACTGCAGCAGAATGTGCTTTGACATACCAGCTTAGGACAGTTTGCTCCTGTGTAGGAATTTTGCTGGCGCTGTTTTGAACCTTTTCTTAGCATAACTGAACACAGTAATGTACGAAGAATGGAATCTACCTGTAGTTGGAGATATGACCTTGTTTTCTCCTCAAGGGTTAATCTGGTGCGACAGGTCCATTCCCTACAGTTTTGAGATTTAAGCTTGCCTGCCCTGGGATTTTCCTTTAAAACTCTCAAGCTTCCATGTGCGATGGCTCTTAAATTCTTTTATTAATGACACCAAGAACCCCAAGAGGAGATTTGAATTTCCCAGGTATTATAACTCTGCTGGGACTCCGAAAATTTTCTGGCAACTCCTCTTTCCTTCCTTTTAATTCTTTTTTGTTTTTGTTTTTTCGAGACAGTGTTTCTCTGTGTAGTTTTGGTGTCTGTCCTGGATCTCACTCTGTAGACCAGGCTGGCCTTGAACTCACAGAGATCCACCTGGCTCTGCCTCCTGAGTGCTGGGATTAAAGGCGTGCACCACCACACCCGGCTCCTTTTAATTCTTAATTGACAGAAAAAACAAAACTCAGTCCTGTACCCCTAGACAGCATCAGATAGGTTTCATTATGACACTTTATACATGTATATAATGGATTTTGAGCAAATGTATTCCCAACTTCTGTCTTCCTCTCATACCCACGGATCACCTTGTTATACCAACTAGTCTGCCTCTGGTGTGTGTGTGTGTGTGTGTGTGTGTGTGTGTGTGTGTGTGTGTGTGTGATCCAATGAGTTTAATTAGGGCTACTTGAGGAGCATGGGCAACTTACCAGTGACTACCCCTCTGAAGAAAATTTCTGTTCCTTTCCAAGCAACATTGACTGCTTATAAATTCTCGAGAAGCGGGGAGCCTGTAGGAACCCTTTCTCCCTCCATGACAGAACTTGTGTAGCCCAGTTCTGTGCAGACAATCTGCTGAGCGTTCAAGAATGCAAAGGCCATGCCATGCCGGCAAGACAGCATTCCATAGCCCACATCCCTTCCTCCAGCTCTTACATTCATCTTTATAAACAAATTTCTCACAGGTGTGTATTGTATTTTGAGCATAAATATCTACTCTTCATTACTCTCTACCTTCCATTTTCTTGTTTCTCTGATCCTGTTGTTTTCCTAGACAATCTCAGTTCTTTCATTTAGTCTATACATACATGATTTTATGAGACCATATGAAATGTAGGAACCACAAATGAGGGATATATATATATATCTTTCTGAGATTGACTTAATTTGCTCAATATGATTACTTCCAATGTTAATTCCACCAATTAAGAATAAGATCGCTACCACAATTCAAAGCCAAATTTGAAACAAGTTTTAATTAAATACTGGCCAGGCGGATGGGCTCTGGCCAAATCCATACCCAAGTTCCCGGGAAATAGCCTAGAATCAAGTATGGCAAGGGCTTAAGAAAGAAAACTCATAATTCATTGCATTTCCCATCAGGTCCAATCAGAGGCAAGCACACATCCTGATGGATATCTAGCCTACATCCAATCAGGGGCAAACGTACATCCTGACGTACTTCCTGCCTTTGAACCTCCCGCCCACAGGTGATCAAGCACATCCAGTGTAGATGGGTCAAACAAACTTGTTTAGAGGAGTGGACAGCACATGGCTTGTTATCTCCCATAAACAACAGCCTCCAGCATTTCAGGAACTATCTGTCCTTGGTCAAGGGGCTTGCAGATCAGAGACAAGTTTCATGGATCTCTAAGGCATAGTAATTAAAACTTAAAATGTTTTAACTTTGGCTCTCACACCAGGTGTATCCATTTTCCCACAAATGACATAACTTCATTCTTTATGGATGAAAAGAATCCATTGTGTGTATATATCACAACTTTTCACCCATTCCTATGCTGTTGGACATCTAGGGTCTGTGACTTAGCTATTGAGAATATTGCTGCAGCCGGGCGGTGGTGGTGCATGCCTTTAATCCCACACTTGGGAGGCAGAGGCAGGCGGATCTCTGTGAGTTCGAGGCCAGCCTGGTCTACAGAGTGAGATCCAGGAAAGGCGCAAAGCTACACAGAGAAACCCTGTCTCAAAAAAATCAAAAAGAAAAAAAAAAAGAATATTGCTGCAATAAGCATTGATGAGTGTCTCTGTAATCTATTGATTTGGTATCCTCTGGGAAAAAAATACTCAGGAGTGGTATAACTAGACTATGTAGTAATCTATTTCTAGTTGTTTGTTTATTATCAAGCCAGGTAGGGTCCCAGCACTTGAGGGGGAAGTCAACACAGGGTCCCACTCCTAATCAAGAAACTATTTGCAACTGATCCCTGCTGGCAAAGGGAAAGCCAGTTTTCTTCTATGGAGTGATCCAGGATAGCCCCCAGGCCCAGAAACAGTTAGCCAGCATAAAATAAACATGATGTTTCTGTGTGTGTGTGTGTGTGTGTGTGTGTGTGTGTGTGTGTGTGTGTGTGTGGTGTTTTGGCGAGCGTGCGGGGGTGGGGGTGCATTTCTTTGTTTTAATGTTCTTTTGCTTGATTCTTGCAATTTTCATATTTATTGATTGATTGACAGGGTGTCTCTATATATCCCTGACTGGCCTTGAATTCTCAGAGATCTACCTGCCCCTATCTCCTGAGTGCTGGGATTAAAGTTGTATGACACCATGCCTATTTTTTTTTAGGGAGCGGGGAGGGTGATGGGGAAAACCAGTGCAGTGGAAACTCCTTGGAATCTATGAGGTTGACCCTAGCAAAGACTCCAGTAATGGGAGATACGGAGCCCAAACCAACCATCTTCTATAACCAGGCAAGGCTTGCAGTGATGGGACTGGGACACCAACCCAGTTACAAAAACTTTGACCTGTAATTTGTCTTGCCTGCAAGATGTGCTGGGGTATTGGTGGCACAGAACTTGTGGGAGTGGTCAATTAATGACTGGTCCAACTGGAGAATCACACCACGAGTGGGGGCCCATGCCCAGAAACCTAGGATAGAACCAAACATGACTGGCCAAAAAAAAAAAAAAAAAAAAAAAAAAAAGTCAATGAAATTGTTCCTAATAATATTCTGCTGTGCTCATAGATTGGTGCCTAGCCCCATCATCATCAGAGAGCCTTCAGCCAGCAACTAATAGGAGCAGATGCTGAGACCCACAGCCAAACATTAAGTGGAGCTCAGGGGACCAAGAAGAAGAGGGGGAGGAGGAGGTAGGAGCCATAGGGGTAGAGGACATCGTGAGAACAGGGCCCCAAAGAATCTACTACGCAGTGCTCTTAGGCACTCACAAAGACTGAAGCCACAACTTCACCCTCTGCAAATATGTTATGGTTGTGTAGCTTGGTGTTCTTGTGGGACTCTTAACAGCGGGGGCGGGGTGTGTCTCTGACTCTTGCCTGCTCTTGGGACCCTTTTCCTCCTACTGGGTTGACTTGTTCAGGCTTCATATTAGGGTTTGTGCCTAGCCTTATTGTAACTTTTTATGCCATGCTTAGTTGATATCTCTGGGAGACCTGCTCTTTTCTGAAAGGAAATGGAGGAGGGGATCTGGGGGAGAGGGGAGATGGGGGGAACTGGGAGGAGTAGGGGGAGGGAGGGGAAACCAGTCAGGATGTAATACTTGGGAGAAGAATAAATAAAATAAAAAAAAGAGCCGGGCGGTGGTGGCGCACGCCTTTAATCCCAGCACTCGGGAGGCAGAGTCAGGCGGATCTCTGTGAGTTTGAGGCCAGCCTGGTCTCCAAAGCGAGTTCCAGGAAAGGCGCAAAGCTACAGAGAAACCCTGTCTCGAAAAACCAAAAAAAAAAAAAAAAAAAAAAGAGAGAGAGAGAGAGAGAAAACGTCAGCGAAATTAAACATAGAGATAGAGAGAGAAGGTAAAGTTGGGTGGGTAGGGAGGCAGAAGGGAATCGGAGAGGAGTTGAGGGAGGGGAAGGAATGTGATCCGAATATAAAAATGTGTAAGAATTAAGATAGAAAATTGGATTTATTTATTTTATACGTATTAGCGTTTTGTCTATATGTTTCTGTACGCACCATGTGCATGCTTGGTGCCTGCCAAAGTTAGAAGAGGGCGGTGTCTACCCTGGAATTGGAGTTATGGACAGTGTGAGCCACCATGTGGGTGCTGGGAATTGAACCCTGGTTCTCTAGAGGAGCAGCTGGTACTCTCAACCACTAAGCTATCTCCCAGCCCCTATTTCTAGTTTTTGAAAAACCTCCATAGAGCCGGGGTGGTGGTGGTGCACACCTTTAATTCCAGCACTTGGGAGGCAGAGGCAGGCAGATATCTGTGAGTTCAAGGCCAGTCTGGTCTATAGAGCAAGATCCAGAACAGGCACCAAAACTACACAGAGAAACCTTGTCTTGAAAAACCAAACCAAACCAAACCAAACAAACAAACAAACAAAAAAATAAATAAAAAAGAAAAAAAAAGAAAAAGAAAAAGAAAAAAACTTCCATAGAGATTGGACTAGTTTATCGTGTGGACCATATGGAGACAACCATTGCTGCTTGACTAAGTTCCAGCATTTTGGACTTGTGGATCACAATTCTCCAATATTCTTTTACTTTCATTTTTAATAATTCTCATTATTATGCTCTTCCATTTAGGAAATTTTGTGTGGGCTTTGAAACATAA